TAAGTGGAATCATGCAGTATTTGTCTTTTTGTGGCTGGCTTATTTTGTTAGACTAATGTCCTCTCATAGTAGAAAATATAGGAAACAAATGTTATTTGATGTCTCATTGTTTTGATTTATGTTTGCCTGATGATTATTGATGTTGATGTTGAGCAATTTTTCATTTGTTCTTACTCTTTTTTTTTTTTTTTTTTTTAACTGGTGCTTGAGATTGAACCTTTGGTCTTATGCATGCTAGGCACACTGTACCATTGACTTACACCTGTTCAAGTCCTTTGCTTGTTTTATTTAAGATTACATTTATGTGGTTTAAGTTTAGGAGTTTGGTTTTGAAATTATTTTTAAATTGATAAATAAAAATTGTATATATTTATGTTGTACAGCATGATTTTATGTTTGTATATATCATGGAATGGTTAAATCAAACTAAATGCTTTATACATATTCTGGATTCTACCCCCTTACCAGATATATGGCCTTTTCACTCTGTTGATTGTGTTTTTTTTTTCTTTTTTTTCTTCACAGGAGTTTTTAAGTTTTATAACAGTCTTGCTTGTTTATTCTTGCTTTTGTTGCCTGTGCTTTTGATGTCATATCTAAGAAGCATTGCCAAAACCAGTGTCATAAAGGTTTTCTCCTGTGTTTTTATTCTGAAAGTTTTATAGTTTCAGGTTTACGCCTTATTGTTTTGTAAGTTGAGGGCTCTACCACTGAGCTACACCCACAGCCTGTAGTAAGTCTTGTATCCTAATGTAGTCTGTCCTATAGAATGTTTCATGTGTGCTTGAGAAGAATGTGTATTCTTCTGTTAATGGGCAGCGCTCTGTATATATATATTAGGTCCAGTTAGTTTATAGTATTGAAATCCTTTGTGTCTTCATTGACCGTCTGTTCAGTGGTTGATCTGGTCACTGATAAAACTGAGGTATTGAAATCTTATTATTGTGTTACTGTTTCTGTCTTCCTTCAATTCTGTCAGTGTTTGCTTTATATTTTTGGATGGTCTGCTGTTATTTGTGAATATATTTATAATAGTTATATCTTTCTGGTCAGTTGAACCTTTTATCCTAATATAATGTCCTTCTTATACTCTGGTTTCTCTTCAGATCGTATAAATCTTTCGCCTTTTACTAATATAATGTCCTTCTTAAAGTCTCTTGTGAATGATTGAGTTAAAGTCTATTTTGTCTGATACATGTATGACTAACTAACCTATTATGTTTTGATTGCCACTTAAGCACTTTTTTTTAAAAATATATCTTTTCACTTTCATCCTTTGTCCTTAAGTTTAAAGTGGATCTCTTATAGACATAGTATAGTTGGGTCTTGTTTTTATTCATTTGGCTGCTCTCTGCTTTTGAGTGCGGAGTTCAATCCCTTCACATTTAATGTCATTATTGACAGAGAAGGACTTTCTATTGCCATTTTGCTAATAGTTTTATGCATTTCTTTTTAATTATTTTGTACTGTTTTTCCTCTCCTACTGTCTTTTGTATTTTGTTGCTTTTTTTTTTTTCAATAAGCATGATTACCTTTTTCTTTTGTTCTCCTCCTATAGGTATTTTCTCTGGTTTATGTACTCTCCATAGGGATTACATCTTATATTTGCAACAATTTATTTTAAACTGATAATGTGTTTAATTGCATGCAAAAACTGTACACTATATCTCTCTTCCACTTTGTTTTTTAAAATTATCTTTTTATTTTCCATCCTTAATCATAGTTTTTACATTTATACTTATTTTATATGCTTTTTTTTGAAAAGTTTTACACTAGAATTAAGAGTGATTGAAATATTACACCACCATTACAGTATTACAGGATTGCCTTTTGGACTGTAATGTTTCTGCTGAGAAATCTCCCTACAATCTCATAAAAGCTTCCTTTGTGATGTGTCACTTTGCTCATATCAAGATTTTATTTTACTGACAGTTTGATGATAATGTATCTTGGTGTGAACTTCTTTGGGTTTTTCGTAGTTGGGATACTTTGAGCTTCTTGAATTTGGTTGTTCATTTCCTTTTTCAGATTTGTTTTTTTGCTTTATTTTTGATGTGTGTACTGGGAATTGAACTCAGGGGCTGCTCACCACTGAGCTGTTTCTGGCCTGTTTTATTTTGAGACAAGGTCTCCCAAAGTTGCCCAGACTGGCCTTGGTCTTTCAATTCTCCATCTCAGTCTCTGGAGTAGCTGGGATGAGAGTCATGTGCCACTGTACTCATCTCTTTTTTTCATGTTCAGGAAGTTTTCAGCTATCATTTTTACTAATAAGTTTTTCCACACCCCTGGTTTTCTTTGTGAAACTTTGATAATGACTATATTATCTACTTGATGGTTTCTCATAAGTCCCTTAGGTATTACTCCTCCCCCCTTTTTTTTGTTGTTGTTTCTTGATTCAGTAATTTCAAATGACCTCTTAGTTTGCTGATTCCTAATTGTGTTTAAGTCAGCTGTTGAAGTCTTTTTTTGGACTTTTTTAACTCCACAATTTATTTGATTCTTTTTAGTTTTTCTTTCTTTATGCTCATTCATATGTTTTCATTATTTTTGTTTAGTTAATTATATTGTTCTCTGATAATGTGCTAAGCTTCTTTAAGATGATTATTTTGAATTCCTTGTCAGGTTATTAATCTCTGTTTCTTTATTGTTATTTTCTCAAGACTTAATTTCTTTCTTTTGGCCTTATTATTTTATTTTTTGTGTGTGTATGTGTGTGTGTGCATTTGATAAAGTACCCATCTATCTCAGCCTTTCCAGACTAGCTCTGTACAAGGATGACCTTCACCAAATGACCTGTCTAGGTTCTGGGGGCCCCTTAAACCTTTTATTTGGATGTGTTTTCACTGGGTGTTTGCATATTAATTTTTCAGACTGGGATGTTTGCAGATTCCTCATTCAGGTGTTTGTACTTTCTCCCTCTGGTGTCTGTCTGTGATACTGCAGGTTCTCTGGTGCTGTAAAAAGCTGTTGAGCAGTCCTTTGTTCTCCACAGTGCCAAGCAACTCAAATATGCTAGTTCTCTGTCAGTGCCATTTTAAGCAAGACAGAAACCTGAACAGTCCACTGAAAAGCCAGAATGTTTGGTGCATATTGTGGTGTTCTTTCCCTCTCAAGGGAGAAACTGCAAACTGGGATCTTCTCCCCATCTTGCTAAATTGTGCCAGCTTACAGGAAGGGATATTGTGGTTGTTATGAAGTTGCTCTTCTTTCACTTTACAGTGCAGCTGTTCTTGACTTTGAGCTTGCCTGTGTACTACAGCTGGTTTTTGGAGTTCTCACAAAGGACTGTATATTGTTGTTAAGTTAATATCTCTGTGGGAGAACAAGGTCTTGGCCACCAATTCTGCTATCTTGTTGACGCTACTTTGTTGATGTCATTTCCTTTTTACATCTTTTCCTCATCTGGTAAAAGATCTCATTTCCCCTTTGTTTTTCTTCTCATGGGGGACAGCTAGGAATGGAGCTTTTCCTCTTTTCCTTGTTTCTTTTTTTTTTTGTCAGTTGTATTTCTTTAGGAATTATTATAGTCATAGCAGTAGTGTTGGAAGGAAGGAGGTGGAGTTTTAGAAAGTATGAAGATATGTTCTGTTCTGCCCAGAGAGAGTAGTGTTTTGGTGGTGAAGAGCTTGAATGTTAGTTTCCAATTCTGCCTGCCTTTTAGTAGCCATTTACTTGTTTCTTGGTTTGTATAATGAAGATGATAATAGTAAGCCAAAAAACCCCACAAAATCCCCCAAACATTCATTGAATTGTATAGGTTATTGCTGTCTGATATTATTCGAATCATATATATAATCAAAGTTAACAGTTTTGTATGTTCTCACAAATAAATGGCATACTTGGCTTCTGTGGTAAAAGTATAATTTTTATAATATTACGAAGAAATAAATATCAAGTACCTATTCTAAGCATCTCTAAAATACAGTACTTAACACAGTATAATTTACCAGCACAATACAGATTGAGATATGTATTTGTGTTTTAAATTGAAATATTTTAGCATTAAATGATACATTGGTTTATTTGTATATGTAAACATCTTAATGTGAAAAGCCCTCCTACAAATTTATAAATTCCTTACAGGCAAGACTTGCCAAAAATGAAAGATTAGTGAAGTTAGCTAGTGGATTCAATTGGATGGGAGGGTGTCTAAGAAAAAACTTAAATTTTAAGGTCTAAAAGAATTCAGTTTTTAAAAAATCCTCTTTTTAGTTACCTCAGATTTAAAGCAAAATAGAACTTTTTGTATTTGATCATGTGCATTTATAGATCACCCTTGAGAAATTAGATAGCAAATTGATTTGAATACATGGTAGATACTCTGATATTTAATCTGTGTACGTTTTTATAGCATTGGGCTTTGGTCTAATTAAAAACAAATCAGACATGCTTTTTAAAATATTTGTGATCTATAAATATTAAATGCATGTTTTAACTTTAGTATATGGAAAAAAAATCCTTTGAGATACCTGAATAATATGAAACTGTTTATTTATATTCCTTCTTTTTGTTATCCCTTTTTAGGTTGGGTGGAGTACTGCTCGTGATTATTATACATTTTTATGGTCCCCTATGCCTGAACATTATGTAGAAGGATCAACAGTCAACTGTGTACTGAAATTTCAAGGTAAGGACTGAGAACTGTAGAACTTGACAAGACCAAATGTCCTATTACCGTTAAAAAATTGTACCCCATTATAATGATCTATTCAGGCATGTCTGGGTACCAGAGTTAAAATAGTGTTTTTGTTAGCAGAAGTCATAATAGTGTAAATATCAAGTATATCATGATATTTTAATAGACATTTAGAAATTTTTATTATCATTTAATTGAAGACAGTGGATTTCTTTCTATATCTTTTGAATTTTTTTGACAAGAAAACAATACTATTACTAGTATTAGGGGTGGGAGACATGGGAAGAATTTGATTAGTGGGTACTAAGTTGCAGGTAAATGAGAGTAAGAAGTTCTGTTTTGTTATTGGAAGTAGTGAAACTATAGATGACGAATAGGTACTATATTTCTCAAAAGCAAGAATAAACAATGTTGAATGTTTTTGCTATGAAGGGATATTTGAGGGGATAGATACATTTAACCTAATTACGCAGTGTAGGCACATGTCCACACATCAGTGGTGTCTCATTAATATGTGCAATTTTAATTAAAAGTGACCTTGCTTAAAAAAAAAAAAGAATGTAGCAAATTAGAGTGAGGAAGGTAATCTAGATGGAAACCACCAAGATGGTTAATAGGATTCTAACATGTGAAGGTTCCTATAAAATGGATATAAATAAATAAATAATTTAGTCTTAGTTTGGCATCACATGCAGATTTTTAATACTCTTATTCAGATAATTCTGTCCTATGCCACAAGTTGGATGAATTTGAGAGGGGACATTATGCTAAATCAAATCAGCTAGTCATCAAAAAGCAAATACATTATAAATGGAATCATACCTAGAGTAGATAGACTCAAAGAGATAAGACACTAAAATGGTGACTACCAGGGCATAGTGAATGATAGGGATATAATGAAAGACAGGAATATGGAGTTATTACTTAATAGATACAGAGTTTCAGTTTTGCAAGATGAAGAGTTCTGGGATGGACAGTGGCATGGTGTTTACACCATGAATGTACTTAACACTTAAGTGTATACTTTAAAATGATTAAAATAATAATTTTGTTATTTGTTTTGTCTGTAATTTTAAAAGTGAGAAAATACTCTTATTTAGAAGTCCATCACAGAATTTTTGCAGAGTGATTTTGTTTTATAATTGTACTGACTATGGGTTGTATTAAAGTAAGTTCTTAGCCTTTTATATACCATGGACTCTTTTTGGTCTTGTGAAGCTTATGGACTCTATCATAATATTTTTATGTATATGAAATAAAGTGCATAGAATTGCTGAGAAAACTGAGTATATTTATGTAATTAAAGTGTTATAGGATCAAATTTTGTGATTTTTTTTTAAATATATATTTTTTTAGTTGTATTTGGACACAATACCTTTATTTTTTTGTGGTGCTGAGGTTTGAACCCAGCACCTCATACGTGCTAGGCGAGCACCCTACCGCTTAGCCTAAACCTTAGCCCCCAAATTTGTAATATGTTAATGTGTGCTTTAAAATTTATGTTAACAAGATGTTCTGGCAGATTTAATAATTGCCATAATTCAAAGTAAGATAGCACTGATACTAGTAACAGTGATCATGTGATATTAACCTCTGTCAAAAAATCTAATTACAGTAGTAAAACTAATATTAGTAATAGAAATTAGAGATACTGATAATTCTTTGTGGCTTCTTGCCTGTATTAATGATCAAAGAACACACTAAAATTTAATGATAGATGTTAGTAAAAATAAAATTGTAATGCTTTGTTGTTGAGAGAGAGAGAGAGCATCTATTTTAAGTGCAGCATAACTTGGACCCTATGCTTATAGCTTTGGTACAGTGGTTTCCACACTTAACTGTACTTTGGAATCACCTGGGGGATTGCATGTTCAAGACATGCAGATTCTTAAATTACACCTTTAAAGATTGGGACTTGATTGGAGTATGGCCTGGGTTTTAGAACTATTAGAAGTTCAGCAGTTGCTTCTGATATGTAGACGAGTCACTGGCGTAGAGGTAAATTTTCAACAAATATTGTTAACACTTAATTATATGGTCTTATCTAAATTAAAATGTACTATTTAGTATTAGGCAATATCTGACTTGGATTTGGTGACATGTGCAAAGCAGACTTTTAAATAGTTAGCTTCAGATAATCAGATAGTTTAATTTACTTTTAAATTTAAAATGTCTTCTCTTTTGGAACACGTTTTTGAGTTTATAGCAAAAAATGAGCAAAAAGTACAGAGTTCCCTTATAACCTTATAACCTTTTGCATTATTAAGTTTAGATATTACAGAGTGAGCCTTAATGTAAACTATATTCTATAGATTCTGAGGAGTAAAGACTCATATTTACTGTTGCAGAATCATACAGGGTTTTACTGCTCCCCAAATCCACTTGTTTGACATATTCATCTCCTTCCTTCCCTGCAAACTCCTGGCAATCACTGATGTTTTTACTGTGTCTGTAATTTTGACCTTTTCAAATGTGATGTAACTGGGATGTGTAGCTTTTTCATATCCACCTCTTTCACTCAGCAGCATGCATTTAAAGTTCCTCCAGGCCTTTCTTTATTTTAAATGTCTGAATAATACTCCACTGTATGGATGTACCACAGTCGTTTCCCTGTCCCCCCACTCCTAAGTCCCTCTACTGTGCTAGAAATTTAGGCATTGTAGAACATGCACTCTACCACAGACCTGTATTCCCATCTGTTTCAGTTTATCCATTTTATCTAATGAAGGAACACCTTGCCTAATCCAAGGTTTGGCAGTTATTAATAAAACTTTATAAACATTTTTGTGTAGGTTTTGTGTGGGTATATGTTTCCAGTTCATTTCTGTAAATACCCAAGGAATGTGATTTCTGGATAATATGGTAATGGTACCTTATGTTCAGTTTTGTGAGAAATTGACAAACTATCTTCCATAATGATTTTATCATCTTGCATTCCCACTAGCAATGAGTGATGTTTTATATCCTCAGCATTGGATTTTGGTGGCCTGTTTTAAAAAAAAATTTTAGCCAAGCGTGGTGGCGCAGGCCTACAATCTCAGAAGTTCCAGAGGCTGAGACAGGAAGATTGCAAGTTCAAAGCCAGCTTCAGGAATTTAGCAAGACGCTGTCTCAAAATAAAAAGGCAGGGGATGTGGCTCAGTAGTTAAATGCCCCTGGGTTAAATCCCTGGTATCAAAAATAAACAAATATTTAAATTTTTTTTCTTTTTTATTTGTATGTATGTTTGTATATTTGTCTGAATTGGCAGTGTGACCACATGGAGTTTGCATGTATACAAAAATTTCCCTGTGTTCTATGCCAAAAAAGAAATATTCAGAAGATGTAATTTGTAGAGTAATATGGGTAAGGATTTAGGGTCTTGTTAGATGTGTTTTTTGACCTGGAGGTATAGGTCAGTGGTAGAGTGCTTGCTTAGTATGTGTGAAGCCCTGGGTTTTAGTCCCAAGCACCACCTTACCTCATTGCAGAACAAGACACATAAATAACATGCAGAGTTTATCTTTTAATACCAAGCCTTTTTAAAGATGGTCAAATTTAAGTATGTGTATTGGAACTGATTTTGTTTTGTTTTATATTTATATTTTTTTCTTTAAAGGTATGGGTTTATTTCTAGTCTTTAGTACCAGGAATTGAATGCAGGGTTGCTTTAACCACTGAGCAACACCCCCAACCCCTTTTATTTTGAGACAGGGTCTCCCTAAGTTGCTGAGGTTGGCTTTGAACTTTGGATTCTCCTACTTCAATCTCCCTCCAGTAATTTTTATTGTGATTTGTTTTTTTCTTAAAAAATAAGTTGTTAATATACTGAATTGGTTCTGTTGACTAATGCAATATTAGTGACAAGTGAAAAGTTTAGATGTATTTAAAGAAAGTATTCAATTGATTTTTATTTATACCTTAAAATTTTTTGAGAGCCAAACATAAATATTAAAGTAAGTTGTATAAGTGTTAATTTTTATTTTTAATTTTGATATCCAGAAATAAAAGCTGCTTCCTACCTAGAAAGCTTTTTATTTCTTAGTTTTATAAGGAAGTTGTAGGGGTAGAGTCATGGGATAACTCAAGTCACAGACTGATAGAATTAAGAGATGTTTTAAGCACAGTCCAGAATCACTGCACTGATTTTGTGGATGAGTCTTTAAAATTCTGAAATGCAAAACTCCAAACAATTAACAAGAAATACTTTAATGTGATTGTTCTCCTAAATGGACCTTTATTCATTTATTGAAATCAAATTGAAATGATTAGCAAGACTAACTCAGAATTTGGTTTTTACTTTTTTCTGTTTAATTTTCAGAAATACTAATCAGATAATAAGTTTTTAGAAAAATAACTCTAAATTGCAGCTCTGAATAATTGTATGTAATTCAAATGGCATTTGAACCATATTTTTAGCAGCTTGTGAATGAGTTTTTTTTTTAAAGTATGAGACCTTGTATATCTAGTTTGTAGAATTTTTAAGTAATACTAATTTATCAGATTTTTAAATTTTCTGTTAAACTTTTTAAATAAGGCTGTGGCTATTTGGAAACTTTTTCTGCTATGGATTATTAAATTTAGCAGTAGATATTAGGAGGGTGAAATTTTAAAAGCATAATGCCAGATGTACCTGTGTGATTTTTTTAAAAACTTCATATTTGAAGTAATTTTAAATATAAATAACACACAATTTCTTTATAACCTTGGGCCAGCATCTGCTAGTGTTAACCATGTTGCATGACCACAGTACATTTTTTTAGAAACCAAGAATTTAACCTTGGTACAAGATTCTTGAGTGGAGTATAGACCATATTCAGACATCATAGTGTTTCTACTGATGTTCTTTTTTTGTTTTTGGATCTATCTCTATTCTGACCTTGCATTTAGTTATCATATCATCTTGGTCTCCTCAGTTTGTCCTTATTTTTCTTTTTTTTAATATAATGTATATTTAGTTGTAATTGGACACAATACTTTTATTTTACTTATTTATTTTTATGTGGTGCTGAGGATCGAACCCAGGGCCCTGTCTGTGCTAGGCAGGTGCTCTACTGCTGAGCCACAAATCCAGCTCCAGTTTGTCCTTATTTTTCATGCTTTTTTTTTTTTTTTTTTTTTTTGGTAGCCTGTCTCTGATTTTGTATTTTCTCATGATTAAATTGAGGTTATATTTTTTTTTATGAAATAAAGCCTAATACTATCTTGTTGTTGCTCTAATTCTTCTGGCTTTGACCATTAGGAGTTCCTGTATTTTTCTGATATGCCTCTACCCCTTACCAATTTTTTTTTTGAGGTCTTTCAAGTACCCTCAGAAGTTTATGGTTTGTCCTGTATATTCTACACCCCTCCATTCTGTTTCTAAGGAGAAAAACCTATAGTTTTTTAAAGAATGAAATCTTTATTCATTAAATAAGCCTGTGGCTATTTGGAAACTTTTTCTGTTATGGATTATTAAATTTAGCAGTAGATATTAGGAGGGTGAAATTTTAAAAGCATAATGCCAGGGCTGGGTTGTACCTCAGTGGCAGAGCACTTGCCTCGCACATGTGAGGCACTGGGTTTGATCCTCAGCACACACAAAAAATAAACAAACAAAATGAAGATATTGTGTCTATGTATAACTAAAAAAAAATGAAATCAGGTGATATAGATGTCATAATGAGTCTGAAAATTTTAAGACATGAAAGAATAGCAGACATAGTAATTAAAATTTGAGCTGCATATTCATTGAATTTATTCATTTTGTTTATTCACAATTATAGAATGTTTCCTTTTTAGACATTTAATTCTAGAATTTATTCATGTATAATATATACATATATAAATAAATATGCATCTGCTCTGGGAGAGTGTGTGCACAAGTGTATGCATCTGTGTGTCTGTAGTTTTTGAGATCTGATGTAAGAGATAAAGCATGTAGGTAGTGAATAGTAATTCAGAATATACTATTGAAGTTTTCTTTATTGTAAAAAATTCTGTGTGAGATTTCAAGATGAAATAAAGAACAATTTTGAGTTAGGAAGTCAAGCAACAATTAAAACGTAGAGTGACAGTTGAATAAAGAAAGGCACAAATATTGAACACATTTTATTTGTCATATAGTAGCTAAATGGTATAAATAATTATCTATAGATATATAGGAACTCTTGAGATGTATGGTGTGTTTTGTATGAATATGAGTAGATCTGTGTGGTTCCAAGCTTTTTATTGTCCTGTACTAGTGGTCCTCACTATCTTATTTCCTTTACACAGTTCACATGTGCATCATATTGCTTTAGTTCATATTTCCTTTTTCCATATAATGAATGTCAACTTGAAGGAAAATTTCCTTACATATTCTTGTGCCCACTTGCAGTCTTTATTAGATTTTCATCGTGGGTCTTTCCTTGCTCCTCCTTCAGTCTCTTTCCTTTGAAAAGTACATTTTCTCCCCTCTCAGATGAGTTGGTTTTGCCCTAGTGAAAGGACAAAGTTAGGAGGTCATAGTCTGGGATTATAAATTTAGGTCTAAGAGATGAAAAATTTGGGTATGTTTGAGGAAGAAGGAAAAGTCTCATTTTGACAGATTTGTGGAAAAACAGGAGGAAAAGAAATATCCCAGATAGGTGGTAAGAAAAGGGGAGGAAAGGAGAGATGGCAAGTATTGTTAAAGTAAATTGAAGGTAGTATTTTATAATAGCAGGTTTAATAATTTTTGTCTTTTTGTTTGTTAAATACCTCTTAGGATATTACCTTCCAAATGATGATGGAGAATTTTATCAGTTCTGTTATGTTACCCATAAGGGTGAAATTCGTGGAGCAAGTACACCTTTCCAGTTTCGAGCTTCCTCTCCAGTTGAAGAGTTGCTTACTATGGAAGATGAGGGAAATTCTGACATGTTGGTAGTGACCACAAAAGCTGGCCTTCTTGAGGTTGGTATCAACATGGAGCTAAGAACTCATGTTAGCTGACATTTTAAGAACTTTCATGTTATGCAAGAGTATTCATAAAAATCAAGTGTGTTTTTAAACTAAAATAATAACTTTAAGAATGTTTTTTTAAAAATGGTTAGAACAATCTTTATTTCTTGGTTCTATTGTGGCAGAGCTGTCCCTATGGTCTAACAGTATTTTATGCATAATACGTACTGTAGTAAATCCCTTTTGAGAGAATTTAGACCTAAAAGTTTCTTTATGTTTACTTGTTGTAACCTTTTTTCTTTCTTGGTGGCCAAACTGTTGATTGTTAAATAGTACAGATTTGAGGAATGAAGTTGGTTGGGATACTGGAATAAAATGATAAATCTTAACTGTAATTAGATGTGAATTTTGTTTTGTTTTACCATGAACATGTTTTTTCTCTAGTATGGTAGTGAATTAGGAAAGCATCCTCAGTCTTTTAATTTAGATTGAGTATTTTTAGTTATTCTCTTTCTTGAACATCTGATCAAAATGAATAAACCTAATTTATAAAGAAAGGGTAAAAGGTCTTATTTTTAAAAATTGAATAATGTAGTTATGTCATTGGCTCTATAATATTGTTGTATATCTTAAATTTTAGTAGTCATTGAAAGAGAACATAAAATAACATTATGTTTTCATTGTAAGATTACGTTTTCTGGTGTCTTTATCCTATGCCCCCCAAACTAGACTGCTATACTTAGTTGTTTTGAACTTAGTGTCCTTTATTGTAATAAGAAAAATAGTTTTTCTGATTGGCTCAGTATGTATTTTTTGTTAATTTACATTCATATTTTATCTATTACAGGTCTTTGTTTTTTCATTATAGTCATATGGATCTTCTTAAACATTTTATGTCTTTGATTTTACTTTATTTATGTTAAAGAACTGAGATTACAGGGGGGAAAAGAAGTTATATTTTTAGATAGTTAGAAGGTTAGAAGGAACGAATCATTTTTTATTGTGAATTCTCCCATGTCTTTCCCTTTTCCAGAAATTCCTCTCTTATCTTGAATAAAGAAATGTAACTTTTATAGGGTGACTAGAACATTTTGTGGTGACAACTGCCTGATGATCAAGGTTTTTAGCCTGGTATTTGAATGCTAGTCAAAGATGCTGAAACAAACCTAGCTCTTAAGAAGAATGCTATTAGCATTTATACTGCAATTTTTTGAATACTTCTTAGACCACCCTGATTCCAGGCGCTCCAACACAAAAGCGGTAGGCATTTTGGCATTCACATTTTGCCTGTGCTTTTTCTTCAGGTAAATTGGGAAATAGCACAGATTTATTTCACTCCTTTCTTCCCTTTTACAAAGTGTACATTTATAAAGAAAATTTAAATTGCTCTCTTAAGTAACTATTTCTGAGATAATTTCCTGACCATCTTTTGACAAGTCTTTTAATTTCCACATTCATTAAAATTTTTGGTGATTTTTGTCTAATACTTCAATACAACTGTGAAACATTTGGGACCCAGTGACATTCAAGGCGATTGAGACATAATCCTGTAGTGTGTGAACCTGAATTGGATAATAGGCTGAAAAAGAGACAATTTGGGGACAGTAAAGGATGTTTGATTATTGCCTACCTATTGGATGAGACAATATTATTTTTCATAGTTATGGTAATAGTTGTTGAAAAAGAGACTACCCTCATCATAGGATGAGGTACTTAAGAGTTAAGTATTGCCAATTTTGTTTCAAATGATTTAGTAAGAAAAAGGAAGAAAGAAAAATTTATATAAATAATCTTAAGTATACAAAGAGAAAATATACATTGCAAAATATTAATATAGTGAATTGTATAAAAGGAGTTCATTGTAAAATCTTGTTCTATGTGCTTGAAAGATTGCATAATATATATTGTCGAGCAGAAATTAGATTTTTATTCATTTTTTTATCTAAATTTAAAAATTATCTATGTAAACTTTATTAAACTTCATAAAGTTAGATAAATCATGGAGGTGACGAGTGGTTTTCTGCTAATTAATGTTCTGTTTTAGTACATCAAGATATATTTTTATTTTACCAGTAAGTTTTGAGCCAGATTTTATGCTAAATTATTAATACTGTTAACTATTAGAATCATAGATTTGATCCTAATTTTCTCTCAACTTAATTGAATATCATTGATTGTAATTATCACAATTTCTTTTTTAAATAGATAAAGCATAAAATACATTTCATGATTAAATACACTTTTCCCTTTTGAAAATATTTTTCCTGGCATTTTTATTTGGTCTATTGGTATAGGAAGAAGGGTCATTCAAAAAGTTTTCAGCTATTCAACTTTCATAAGAGCCATTTTATAGTTAATCACTTTGATTCTATTACCCTGGAAAATTTAATTTTAAGATGTATTGGTGGGGGCTGGGATTGTGGCTCAGTGGTAGAGTGCTGGCCTCGAATGCATGAGGCACTGGGTTGGATCCTCAGCACCACATAAATGTAAAATAAATACATTGTATCCACCTAAAACTAATAAATAAACATTTTTTTTTTAAAAAAAGATGTATTGGGAGCAAAATATTTTACCACCTAAATGTGTAATCCCTCTTGTGGAGTATTCCCTCTAAGTTTCTGTTCTTTGGTTAGAAGGAAAGAATTCTTGCTGTAAGAGAAATACTAATCATTTTATTTACTACCATTTTAGGTCCACAATTAAAAATATATATTATTGAATACTGGAGTTCAGATTTTCCTGAACCATTTGTATTCTCATAAAAATAAGTTATATATATATTTTTTAATAAGTTATATTTTTAATGTGTTGTTGCAGTCTGTGTTTTTGTCTTATAATTTGCATTTTTACTTATAAAGATTAGTTTAATTTAGCCAAATAAAAGCATGTGCATACGCATGCACACACGCGCATGCACAGTTTATTGTTTGGTGCTTTATTTTAAGAACCAAAATTTTAATGGTAATCCCTAGATGGAGGCCTTTTGTAACATACAGTAAGTTCTTAATAGATTGAGATTTCTCATAGGTTTGCATTCACGAAGAGGTACAGATTTTCTTCGGGATATGTTTGATTATTGCTCTGGATAAGAAAGCTGAGTAATTAAATTACTTAGGAAATTCAGTATGTCTTATTTTCAGTGTTGATTTGAAAAATGGTTAGGAGAGAACTTCATGTATTCTTTTATGTATGTATTTTCTTCTTTGCCCAACCAAAAGAAAGTTTAAATTTATGATTCATGTAACTAGCTGGATGATATGAATAGGTAGACTACAAAATTTTGTTCTGTGAATTTCTTCACTGTTTGAAATGGAAAACTAAATTTGCATTAATAGTTTAGGAGTAAGAAAAACAATTTATTTGCATTTTTTATTTTGTAGTTGAAGATTGAGAAAACCATGAAAGAAAAAGAAGAATTAATACAGCTGATTGCTGTTTTGGAAAAAGAAACAGTACAACTTCGAGAACAAGTTGGAAGAATGGAAAGAGAACTTAACAATGAGAAGGAAAGATGTGAGCACCTGCAAGCGGAGCAAAAGGTTAGTTGTGTGCTACGTAACCGAGTGGAGTTGATGGTACGTTGCCTGAAATCCACCTATTTAAAGAACTGAATCAATAAAAGTGAAAACCAGTTATTGAAAAAAATAGTACTTAAAAAGATAGAATAGGTCAGGTCAGTTCCTATTGAGCTATGGCAAAAATAGCTTCTTTTATGTTTGAAGATAATTAAAATACTTCTAGACTTTTGGTATCAGGCTTGATGAGGTAGTCCCTGACAACTATTTCCAGATGTTTTACATGTAATTCTAGAATAATTGGTAGATTTTTTTTTTTTTTAATTGGGGAGGAGGTGTTGAAAGTACAGCGAGGAACAACGTTTTCGAAGGAAAGACAGACTAAAGAAATTAAAATTACTTCTTAGAGAAGAATTTAGTGAATTAAGATATTGTCTTAGACAAAATTTTGAAATTCTTAATGTGGGAAATATGATACAATTATCCTTAAAAACAATTAAGCCATGCATGGTGGCCCATGTCTGTAATCCCAGTGGCTCAGGAGGCTGAGGCAGGAGGATCACAAGTTCAAAGGTTCAGCAACTTGGCAAAGCCCTAACCAACAATAGCAAGGCTCTGTCTCAAAAAAATAAAAAGGGCTGGGGATGTGGCTTAGTGGTTAAGTGCCCCTGGGTTCGATTCCTGGTACCAAGACAAACATCAAACATCTAGTAAGAATTGGCATTATTTGAGCAAAGAAAAGGAAGTATAAGTAGAAAATGGTGTAGCTTCATGGGAGATACAAATGGATTTGAGTTAGAAGCTGAAAAAAAAAAAAGGATTAAAGAGAAGGTCGTCATGTGCGCCGGCACATCCCTATAATCCTAGTGGCTCAGTTGGCTGAGGCAGGAGGATCACTAGTCAAAGCCATCTCAACAAAAGCGAGGTGCTAAGCAACTTAGTTCGATCCTGTCTCTAAATAAAACACAAAATAGGGCTGGGGATGTGCCCCTGAGTTCAATCCCTGGTACCAAAAAAACAGTCACTCTATCTGTCATTAATTCCATATTTTCATAAGAAAAGTTATTAGTTATGATAAAACTTATACAGATTGTTATTATACGTACCACAATTTCACTTTAGCTAATTTATCTATAGACTATAGATAAATCTGTAGCTCACTTTGTCTATAGACAGGGTTGAATTATTACTCCCTAAAGGAAGGGTATGTTCCACTATTCTAAGAAATACTAGAGTAATTGCTTTGTATTATTTAAAAAAAATTTTTTTTTTATTTGTAGATGAACATACAGTATCTTTTTTTATCTCTGTGGTGCTGAGGATTGAACCCAGTGCCTCACACATGCAAAGCAGGCACTTTATCATTAAGCTATAGCTCTAGCCCCTGTAATTGTTAACTGAACCATTTGTGCAGTGATTCTAATATTTACCCTCCAGCAGAGTAGTTATATATTCCATACCTGAATACAGTGATTTCAAATAAATAAATAAATATATATATATTTCAGTTGTAGTTGGACATAGTACCTTTATTTTATTTATTTATTTTTATGTGGTGCTAAGGATTGAACCTAGTACCTTGCAAGTGCTAGGCAGGTGCTCTACTGTTGAGTTACAAGCCCAGCCCAAAGGTGATGTTTTGTAAAAGCTAAATTATGAAAAAAATTTTCTTAGTTTATCCTAGTTTTTTTGAGGTAGAGGGTAAGCATATCAAATAATGTGTACATTTGTAAATTTCTTTATGAATGTGAAGTCTTTCTGTCCTTGTTAGCCATTTTAGTTAAAAAGTTACTCCTCCAGTTATACTTTTGGTGAACATTTTGCTTCAGCTGACCATATGACATAGGGTTTTCTGTTTGGTTAGAGAACTTCTTTCATTTGCACTTTAAAGCAGGTATATCAAATATTAAAGTAGAGTAAAAATTACATAAATGTGCCTATGTTAATAACAAGAACCTCAACCAAATCCTTTTTTTTTTTAACTCATTTCTTGTAACAGCCTTGCTGTTTGTATAGTTTTTACTCTTTATTCTCCATTGTTTACATGTTTTGCCTATTAGTTGGCTGTTTTGTAAAGTGGAATGCCAGTCCCCCCCCACACACATTCTTACACACATACTCTATTATTAGCCAGTGGGTTGGAGGTCTTATAGATGTCCCTTGAAAAAGGTCCATTTTAGCATATCTTAAGCTATCAAGAATACCCTGATTGATTTTTGTGATCTTTGAGGTTTTTGAGACTGATCACCTTGAAATCCAAGGAAAGTAAGGATGATTGGGAGAGTAGGAATGGCAGAATGATAGGTCTTTAAAATTTGAAATTACTAATGTTATATTAGACATTGCCTTTAGTTCAGTTGAGTATTAATAGATTTAAGTAGTCTTAGGCTCCCTCTGTCTAGGTGATAGATGGTGATAAATACTACAGATAAAGCTTAAGTAGACTGAGCTTGAGAAAATGATAGGCTGAGATCAGAGGATTAATGAAGCAAAACTTGTAGGAAATTGTGACCTTTATGTCCAGAAGAGGTATTCACCAGAAGTTTTAATGGCAACTCTTAAATCTTAATGACTTTTACTAATCTTGGAAGAAACTACTCTGCTGGTATTCTTGCATTGGGGCATATGCTGTAGAAAGTACTTGTAAGTGATGTTTTAATCAGAGCCTATATTATAGAAAATGGTGATAAAAGAACCTAGAATGGTACTTGAAATATAGAAGGTTCTCCCTTAGGATAAGCAGCTATTATTATTTTGCTATTTTTTGTAATGATGAACCAGAGAATCATTAAGGAAAGACCATGTAAAGAGTTGTCCAACATGAATGGAATTCATAGCATTTCCCCTAGATTCTAAAAATATAATACATGTGTAATGTTAAAAAAGTCTTAAGTTATGGAAATGTATATTTTGGCTGTTGTTTATTTGTGGTGACAAAATAATGTACTTGCTATGAGAAAGAGTTCCTCTTTGATACCAGAAGTCAAGGGACTTCTAATTTTTATGAATTTTCTTTTTACCTCCAAAATTATATCCTCTATCAAATATGCATGCTGGGGAGCTAGAACATCTTAAATCCTTTCAAACTTGTCCTGATGGGTGACTTATAAAATTCATGACATTCCTTGACACTTGTTTTAAATCTATTCCATGGATTAAATTCTAAAAAATAATAAAAAATCCTAATAGTTCTGTAGATCTTCTCTTTGAAGTACTGAGTAAACTTTTTTTTTTTTTTTTTGGTACTGGGGTTGTGGCCCAGTGGTCAAGTGCCCCTGAGTTCAATTCTCAGGGGCACTTGACCACTGAGCCACATCCTCAGCCCTGTTTTGTATTTTATGTAGAGACAGAGTCTCATTGAGTTGCTTACACCTCTCTCTTTGCTGAGGCTGGCTTTGAACTCGCAATCCTCCTTCCTCAGCCTCATCAGCCCCTGGAATTACAAGCATGCTTATCATGTATCATTTATAGTTTCTTTAAAATTTAGCCATGTAAGAATGCGATCAGTGGAGAACCTTGATTTCTTCACACTAGAAGAAATTGATTGCTTTATAAAATATAGTACGATTCGATTATTACCCATTTAATAGTTGACAAATACTGAACGTAAGTTATGTGTTTATAATTATTTATAAACAAAATCTTTTATCTTTTATTGTGTTGATAAAAGATTGTACCACTATAGAATACCATAGGAGAGAAAATTATAATAATTAAAACTAATTAAATTGAACTTAAAATCTTTACATTTTGAAATTAAGAATTGGATATGTTAAAACTATCCAAACAAGTTGGGTTCAACTATATTTGTTTTTGCAATTATATTATGTAATTGACTTATAGAAAATAAGTAGGATTATAAAGTAGATTAAAATTCAAGTTACATAATGGTTATAAATTAAGAAATTATAAATTGTATTTCCCTTAGTTTATTGTGGTATCCATCCCATTATTCATGTACAATCTAGATTTAAAATTAACTTTCATTATTAAGATCCAGTTTTGCATTAATTTCTAGTCTTTAAATATGGAGTTTTCCTCCTCTCTTATAAAAGTCTGATTAATAAAAATAAGTTGTAATACTTAGTAAAAGCCAGATAATGATCTGAGTTTTATATGTTAACTCAATTTTATGATGAAAATACTGTTAACTGGATTTTACAGAGGAAGCATAGAAAGGCTACTTAACCTGCCCATGGTCTCGGGGTTAGTAAGTTGTAGAGGGTTAGTAGCATGGCTCTATTCAGTGCTCTTAACCACTGCTGTTCTGAGGGCTGAAGGTGGGAATAGATCTAATTGATGTTTTAACAAACAGGTTTATTGTGATGTAATTTATATACCATAAAGCTTACTACTTTTAGAGAGTATAATTCAGTGGGTTTTAGTATATTTACAGAAATATACAAGCATTTATCATATCTAAGTTTATGACATTTATCACCCCATAAAGAAAGGTTGTACCTATTTGCAGTCTTTCTCCAATTACCTCCCCATCCTTTCCCCTAGTCCCAGACAACTACTACATTTCATACAAAGGAAATCATAGAATATGGGGCCTTTTGTAAAAAGACTTGATTCTTTCATTTGGCATAATATTTTTAAGATTTCTTTAATGTTGTTATATATATCAGTAATTCCATTCATTGCCAAATAATATACCATTGTATTAATGAATCTTTTTTTTTTAACCCCACCTTTGTATTTATTATAGATATCTGGAAAAATCAGCAGTTCATTATTCATTGTGCTCTTATTTATATTTTGGAGTGACATATTTGAAAATTGAAAGATTGAAACTGAGCCTCAGACAAATAACAGTATTCAATTGATTCTTATTTATTTATTTATTTTTTAAATATTTGTTTTTTGGTGTAGATGGACAGAACACAATGCCTTTATTTTTATGTGGTGCTGAGGATCGAACCAAGGTCCCGCCTGTGCTAGGCGAGCACTCTACCGCTGAGCCACAATCCCAGTCCTTGATTCTTATTTTTAACTTTTTTTTTTTTTTTTTTTTGTACTTT